GACAATGTACATGTAAATATGTTATCCAGCATTAAAATATCTTTTTAATAAATAAGAGTTATGTATTCTATCACACGTGCCCCACATCTAGTGCTCTCTGAACTGGATGCATGTTAAAATGATGGTTTTCAGCAATAATTTGTAATCCTGTTTCCTCTTTCAACCGATGTGGATTAAACCAATCAAAAGGTCCGACTTAAAAGAAACATCAGCCTATCGATGTCCAGTTTACAAAACTAGCGAAAGAAGAGGAACATTGTCGACAACAGGTCACTCAACTATGGTGGCTGATTGGTATCATGTCGTAATGTCGTGATGTCGCCTTTCATAACGCGACATCAAAACATTTCTACCCGACAACACGACAACCCGACATCACAACATTTCTACCCGACATCACGACATTTTTACCCGACATTACGACACTAAAAATGTCGTGATGTCGGGTAAAAATGTCGAGTTGTCGACTTCCATGATCAATGTTATAAGCGACCACGATGATATTCATAACAAAAAACTGGCAATTAAGAAAATGGTTGATCAAGTGGAAGTAGATTCACACTCACCATAGGCAAACGAGGCAGGGGGGGGGGGGGGAGGCCCCCCCCAAATATTTTCATGAAAAAAAATAGAAATCTGAAAAGAGCTCAGAATTGTGAGATCTTGTGCGATCGGTCATTAGCCGAGGAGTTGTTGAAAATGGGGTGGGGGTAGGGCCTTGTCGGGTAAGGCTATGGTCTTGTCGGGAATGAATGCTCAGTTTGTCGGGAAGCGTCGCGCCGTCTGTCGGGTTTTGAATATTTTTAATAATATGGAAGCGGAAAGAAAGCAGTCCAGTCAATGATGAACACGTACGCCATCTGAATAGAACTAGCACGTACACATGGCCTTTCTCAGTTCTTGACTGTGTTCCTGTATACTGGCATCCAACTCCATGCACCGGACGAGCCCAGTGATAGAAGTGATCTGAAAAGCAGTATAAACTATCTGTTTATGCCTTCCCTGATAAAAAAAATGTGAAGTCTCATAAAATGAAAAATGTGGCAAAAGTAAATCGTTCGACTTGTTCTTTGTTTTCGTAGTAATAGAGCTTGTATTTTAAAGATGACTTTTACCAGTTTTTATGCTGCAACTGACATAATTTACTACCCACTCCAAATTACTAGAAAGTATTCGAAATGCCTGGAAATCGCGTCTACAGCCGTCTGGTTTTCAAAATTTTATGGGGGAGGCCCCCTAGACCCCCCGTCGGACGCTTAGCGCCTCCGGCGCCCGCTAGCGGACAGCTTCGTCGCCTGCGGACTCTAAAAAAATATATTTGTCGGGAAAATATGCTGGCCCCTCAAACAAGTTCGGCCACGTACGCCTGTGACACTCACAGTGCAGTTTGAGTTGCATTCGTATCCATTTGTATACGTCCACATTCATAATGTGAACCGTCTTCATTAGCTCAGTCGGAGCAGAACAGTAGGACGTTAAACCCCATTTCATTTCATAATGTGAACATATTATGAAGCCGCCCTTGTCTGTGTGTCAGTCATTGAGTCAAGTTGTGTGGTTTCCAGACCAAGCTTGTACATGACAAAGAGTAGGGTCTTCTGTCTAACCTCGTGGGTTTTCCCCGGGTCCCCCGGTTTCCTCCGACTGCTGAAGACCCCTACGCGCGAGCAAATTATTGAAATAAAATTGATCCATATGTTAGTCCCGAAATTACCTAGTTTGTGTCGAGTGGCCGTTAAACCCCCCTCTCTCTCTCTCTCTCTCATGATCAAACTCAGAATTAGCTAGAATCAAGGTTATTGTGTCCCAAAACATCGACCAATCAAATTGCTTATCTCTGCTTAGCCTTAGGAAAATCATAAATAAACAACAAGATTATGAACATGTTAACGATTGTATACAGAGTCAGTTAAAAGCCTGATTAAATAAATGTGTTATAAGTTGTTTTTTAAACGAATATAGAGATGTACAACATGGCCAAGATATATCACGACAACCCGACATTTGTTACCCGACATCACGTCATTTTTACCCGACATTACGACATTTTTAGTGTCGTAATGTCGGGTAAAAATGTTGTGGTGTCGTAATGTCGGGTAGAAATGTCGTGATGTCGAGTTATGAAAGGCGACATCACGACATTACGACATTATACCAATCAGCCACCATACTCAACAAATTTCGTCATCGGAATGATGATTCCGTCCGACAAACCACAAGAACATTGGGTTGGTCGCGGTATGGCCCTGTTGTGTCAACTGGATAATTAAGTCATTTAAATTCATGAACATTCATCATCGTCACCCTGTAATCTGGATTATTATTTATTTTCCTGGCAGAGTAAACTTTTAACACGACTGTCATTCCAGGTTGAAAATCTTTAAATCAAAAACCACAATCTTCTTTCTTTTTTTTTTAAGTTGTACATAAGGTTAATTTCATTTATATTCTGCAAAAACTTTCGAAATTTCCAACTTAAGTTATTTTTATTCAAACATTCCAATCAAAGTATACGTTCATGTTTTAACTGCAATCAAATCACGAACCGTCCGACCATTTTTATGGAAGCCTATCACTACCATTCATAATTTCTACATTTCGCCTCTTCACAACGCGAAAAGTCGAAAAGTAGAAGTTACGACAAAATGTGAGGCGCCAACACGCTATACAAGCCAAAATCAACTCGAAAATAACAAATTAAGAAATAACACACCGCGATAATAGCGCCCCTTGTTTTTTCCTAATTTTGGTTTGTAGCCTATACCGTCTTGTCGATTTTCGACTTAGTCATATTTTTGTATTTATTGATGTCAGTAAGAAGGCGCCAACATGCATACCAAGCCAAAATGCAACTTGAATAGTAGAAGTTAGGAAATTAACACACCACGCTATTAGCGACTTTTCGCCTCGGAAGTTGTTGTAGTCTCAGTTTTCCAGGTCGCATTTGAATACGTGCAATCAGGGCTCACACTGTATTTCATTCTTTTCCGTCAAAATGGATAATATATAAAAGAAATGTTCATACTTTTTTCCGCCACCTGGGATATTTTATCTGCCAAAAATGTCTGCCAACACTTTAATTTATTATATAGGCCTATTATAAAACAAATGTACCGATATATACAATATACAACAACGAGTGGATGTTAAGCCAGCCTGGAGGTCGGGTGTTCGATCCCTAGGTATGTTTTCACTTCAAAATAGTCAAGAAAGGTCACCATCTTGTTGTTATTTATCATGATCAATTCAAGGGACATAATTTTGGATGGCGATATTTTATTTCGTGGACATTATTATGTAACGTCTGTTATAGAGTTTGGGCCCAGCAATAAACAATATCGATTTTTAATTCATTTAGAGATAAAATTACTCATACATTTTCAAATGTAGCGGAAGGTTCTGGCGAGCCGGATGACAGGGTTTTGCTTGCACCACCACTGTACTACACAGATACTTGGATATCAACACAGCTGTATTACATAGGTAACAATTCTCCAGGTTAGTTCTATTTCATAAATTTCATAGGTCAAAGGTCACGAGATGTAAAACCGAAAACAACTTTTACAATCTGGTTAAAACACAGATCCTATTTCGTTTTTTATAGTTCAAAATTTCGTTTTACTTGTCTTTACTACACTTGGATCTAGAAGAGTTGTTATTTAACTCGTGTTCTGAATGGTGTCAGGGATAAGCCAATGAAACGGTGTGTCACGGCGAGCTTTAGGCGTGTTTTGCACGGAACTGTGGGTAATCCACTAGTAACATCAATGTTGATTGGTTAATCAAATGTCTGACGTCATAGGGTCATAAGTCGGTCTTTTGACCCCTGACGTGACCTATCGCTATAACTTATCAGATCTTCCTATAGTGTAGGATATCGAAAGTATAAAAAACAAAACGAAATATAGATCTGTATTATAATCAGATTGCAACTTTTACAACCCCTGCTATAAAACGTTACCGATACACGGCATAGCTAGCCAGAATTGCTACAGGGTATCTGGTAATTACCTCTTTGTAAATCCACACCAAATGTGTACCCAGCCCCCTACGAAGAACAGTTTATACCCCCCCCCCCCCCCCAAAAAAGTGTTGAATTTAGGAAGCTATAAAATTAACCAAAAAGTACAAACGTACTTCGTTAGCTATACGCTCTTCAAATAAGAAGTGGAATCAGATGTTCATGCCAGCATAAATTATCTAATGTAAGACACCTGTAATTATATCTAACTAGAAAGGTGGATATCAGAAGATGGAGAATACTGCCTGGGATAAAAGCAATTAATACTGTATGCATCACTGCAGTGGCAAGATCATATCCACGTCACAGTAAAGTGATATAGCAAAGAAAGGCACAAACATTGTAAAACATTAACACACGGTACAGTTTTATGGATACACAGTGATTGACTTTAATACTAAGTGATGTTTCGACGAGGACAATCTCGTCTTTAACAACATAGGCGTACGGGCTCGATGACAGTTAGGAGGGGGCAGGTTTATAGACAGCGACGCCGGTCTTCTGCGAGAGATCGGAGCTTACCCTGTATGGACCCCGCAAGAAAATTTTGGAATATTTGATGGCCTCCAAATACAATTAAAACTTGTTATTTTTGTTGCATATTCTGTATCCTTGTCGAAAAGTTGTCTGGTATTAAATTCGGTAATTGTGTATCCATAAACTTGTACCTTGTGTTAATATATTTTCAAGCCACGGTGGTTAAGTGGGTAAGATGCTGGCTCTCTAGCCTGGAGGTCAGCTGTTCGAGAAAGTTCATCGGGAGGGTCTGACAAAGACAGCTGTCTAGTCGTTTGGATGGGACGAAAAAACGAATAGTGTCGCTGCTCGGGCAAAATTCCCTCATGGCGTATGCCCGTCTTCACTAGCCCAGTTGGACGTTAAACCCCATTTCATTTCATTTCATACTATCTTCAATTATCAAATAACTACCAAAGAAATTATAGTAGAACACTTTTAGAAAAAAATACATGAAAACTCATTTCAAATCATGACTATTTATTTATATTTAATCTTGCTGTCCTAGATCGTTTAAAAACGTTTTCAAATGGTGGCTATTGTTATGGGATGTCGTTACTGCTACCCCCATACATTGTCCATATATCTACAAAATGAATAAAAACAAACAGATATATTTTTCAGCATTATTAGGAAAGTGTAATTATATAAAATTATATTTATTCCATCAAGAGGTTAGATCAAAAGAAAAATTACACAAATAATTAAAAAAAATAAAAATAAAAATGCTATTTATACATTTGCTCAGCTTCAAATGCTTTTTGAAAGAATCATTTTATACTGGTAAAAAGAATAGTTTTAAAAAATACCGTTATCAGCTCTTTTAAATTCCTTTTGAAAGAAAATAGTTTTAAAGACTATGTGTTTTCGGGTTTATTTGGAGTTGTTCATTACCACGAGACAAATCATGAATGACCACTGCCAGACTGTTTGTGCGGTAGATTACCCCTAATAGACACGCCCAAAATGCCACGCCCTCCAACTAGGATAGATTAGCCTAGTTGGGGCGTGGCATTTTGGGGGCGTGTCTGCAAAGCTGTTTTAGGTGGTACAGATCTGAGCTAATCTAGCCTAGCTTTGGTCTAAATATTAGATACTTCTTGTCAGGGATACTCCACCACTACAAATGTCTGGCAATTACATAGCTCTGCCAGGGGTACCCCACCACTAGAAATGTCTGTCAGAGTGTTTTTGTAATACCTGAAGATGTACGGTAAACTGCTGTACGATTTTCATTTGGTACACTTTTGGGCTAATATAGCCTAGTTGGGGGTCATGGCATTTAGGGCGTGGAATACCACACCCACCACCAGAAACCCGGCAGACTTACATTCTGATGATACCAGATATACATACATTGATACCATATAGGAGAAAATTGGTACACTTTTCAGCTAGGTTGACCCCCTGGGCTCCCGGTCTATAAAATTACATTTATTGAAAGAAAGAAATTTAAAAAAAAAAATAAACAAATGCAATTATATAAATTTCCTCCTACACAACAATACCATACACCACTAGTATTAATGAAAAATGTATATAATAATAATAATAACATCATCATTTATAAAGTGTATTAATACTGGAGAACGGTTTCTAATGTGCTGTTCAGGTTCTTATATTCACAGAATACATGTATTTACACAGAGATCAGGTCTTGTGCCCATATACACTGTACAAAATTGAAAGATATATACCAACCAGTAAATAAAAGTACATATAAGAGAAAAACAAACCGTAATTACCTAAGTAAAATGGTTATAGTAAAATGAATTAGAAATGAAATGGTCTAATGAAGATGGGCATTTACGCCATACAGTGGGCTATAAGGCAAATGTTGCCTGGGCACAGCACTATGGCTTACGTTTATATCGAATTACAACTGCCAAGGGATCTTTTTACGTGTACACCAATGTATACACGGGACCTCGACTAGACTGCTGTCCTTGTGCCTTGTCAGCCCCTCCGCCTGCACCACTGACAAGGGGAAACCGTCGGAAATGAATTAGAATAAAAAAGTAAAATAAAAACATATAGTAAGCATAAAGTGACAAAATATAATATGAAAATTTATTGACATGTACAGTACATTTAAGTAAAACATATTTAAAATGTAAACCGCTTACAAAAGTACATGTATATAGGTGTAGGCCTACTCACATAATTTCATCAATATCATATCGCTATTAAAATCAATGTCACTGTCAGCATATGTTTGGGTGTCACTTTTATATTCGAACAATATACACAAATCCATACAAGAAAGTTTTCACTTGTAACAAGTACATCTATTACTGATCTATCTGTAAAAGTGTAATGCAGCTTGATTTACATTCACATTGAAAATTTTGTTTGGTGCTTGATCTCTAGTCACCCTAACCCTGTCATTTGTTCAATAGAGTTTAACAAGAGGGGTTTAAATTTCCACAGCTACAGTCAGGCAACCAGGGAGGAATGCGCCAGAATATGCCCCTTTTTTTCAAAAAAAGTAAGTGCACTTGTACTAACTCATCTATTTCGGTTCTAATTTTCTCCATAACATGGGGGTTGGATGGCCGAATTGTTAGCATGTGCGTACTGTATCATAAAGCCTGTCATTAAGTCAACAGGTGTGGTTTCGAATCCCCGGTTGTGGGTTTTCTCCGGGGCCTCCCACTGCTAAAGACCCCTACGCGCAATCGAATTATTGAAATAAAAAAAATTAAACCATATGTTAGTCCCGAAATGATAAAGTTTGTGTCGAGAGGACGTTAAACCCCATTTCTCTCTCTCCATGACAACTTGGGTATGAGTATTGCGCATTGTATTTCACCTCAATAATGGTGACATAGTGGTCTTCTGTCTTGTATGAGTGGACTTCTCTATTTGTCTGAGTGGTCTTGGGCCGAGTAGTCCTTGGTCTGGGTTGTCATGCATTTAGGAGAATATCTTCATCAGCTTGCATTTGTAAGAAAATGGGGAAAATGTTAAGATATGATCCGATCCCCTTAAACAAATTAACCAGACCTATTATTTTATTCTCTTTCTCTTTTTGTTTTTTTTTCTTTTTGCTGCTTGTTTCTAAACATCACTTTCTTCAACAATTTTGGAATCGTGATAATGTTTCATACACAGTTTTGTTAACGTGGAATGTGAGAAATAGTAGCCTATACCATACCTCAGTGAGAGTTTTGTCTGCACATTCCTGCTTTGTCCAGCAAATCGGCATTTGTCTCCGGCACAAGCCCGCCATTTCCATCTAATTTGATCCACTGGTTAGCACATACCTTAAATTTTTCCCAGCTTGTCGCAGTGAAAGGTTTTAGCTCAGTGTTTTTAACAAAATGTACACGAAGTATGCAGTTTTACTTTAGCTATCCATCGGCCATGCACCGTTAATAACAAAACGTAAACAAAGAGCAGGTGACCTTTCACCATACGACCTGTTGAACTTTTCGTCGTGTATGTTTGATTGGCCAATTATGTCACGTGATCTGTTTAAACCGAGTCACCGCGAAATTCAAATACCATTGCACATTGACAAGTAAGCCCATATTTAATTTACGTTTTCTATCAAACGTCAAAGAATTGATAAAAGAAAAGTTGCGTGATAATACAAAGTAATACTAGAAGAATTAGATGATGTAGGTTTTTTTTCACCCGAAAATGGTCGGGACGGAGAAACAGAAGCAAGCTAGCTAGAAATTTAACACCACGGCCTCATTTCCTGTTTGGTTTCTTCACAATATTATCTCCCCTTGGGCGACCCCCCCGGTTTGGCATAATGATACTTATAATAGCGATGTTCCTCTGGTTTGACATAATACTTATTAAAATAATTAAAACAGGGAAATTCATCGGGTCGTCCTTCCTCGGGAATACGATCTGTAAGAGGGGGATCTACCACTAAACCACCCCGCCCACATCGAGTCCCACCCATCATACCGAGCTCCCCAATTACCAATTATAATATTCATTAATGTTTGTTGTAATACGTTACCAGCAACATAGCCTTGATACGAGTCAGTGGTTAGGGTAGGGGGGGGGGGGGGGCATTGGAAAATGTACTTGTATAGTTAGACCAAACAACGTGTGAAAATCTTCCGAAAATGTTGCACTTTAGGACGCTTATGTTCATATAAGCATACCCCGCCCCATGTACGACACCAAGCATGTGGTTTGATAGTGAATATCAGTCAGAATAAATGGACCGAACCACGCTGATTTAGCTAACCAGCACAGCAGCACTTAAAACAAAATATACAAAAAGTCAATGTATTTCACGATTCTTTATTTATATTTATTTGATATTACTTTTCTTTATTTTTATACGCCCACATTTTCATGTGGACGTATATTGTCGTCGCCCCTGTCCGTCCGGACGTCCGTCCACAATTGTTTGTGAACAGTCTACAGCTCACAATTTTTATCCGATTTCAATGAAACTTGAAATATAGCTTTATCGCCCTAAGATCTCGGTTCCTTTCGATATTGGCATGTATCGGACCGTAACTTCATGGATTAAGGCCCCTGATTGTACGAAAAATCACGTTTTTGGCTTGTGAACACTGTAGATGTCACAATTTTTATCCGATTTGGTTTAAACTTGAAATGTATGCTTATAACCCAAAGATCTCGGTTCCTTTCGATATTCGTGTATATCGGAACGTAACTTCCTGAATTATGGCCCCTGATTGTACGAAAAATCGCGTTTTTAGCTTGTGGACCCTATAGAGGTCATAATTTTTATCCGATTTAAAAAAAACGTATTATTATCACCGTTACACCCTAAGGACGACTGAGTTCGAATTTCGTGAAAATCGGCCCAAAACTGACAGACAAAATGGCCGCCCTTCGTTCTCAAATAGCGTAAAACTATGATATATCAAGGTTGTGGACCCTATAGAGGTCACAATTTTTATCCGATTTTGTTGAAACTTGAAATGTAATTTTATAGCCCGAAGATCTCGGATCCTTTCGATATTCGCGCATATCGGACCGTAACTTCCTGAATTATGGCCCCTGATTTTACGCAAAAACGCGTTTTTGGTTTGTGGACCCTATAGAGGTCATAATTTTTATCCGATTTAAAAAACCGTGTTAATATATCACCATTACACCCTAAGGACGGCTGAGCTCGAATTTCTTGAATATCGGCCCAAAACTGACAGACAAAATGGCCGCCCTTTGTTCTCAAATAGCGTAAAAATATGATATATCAAGGTTGTGGACTCTATAGAGGTCACAATTTTTATCCGATTTTGTTGAAACTTGAAATGTAAGTTTATAACACAAAGATCTCGATTACTTTCGATATTCGCGCATATCGGACCGTAACTTCATGAATTATGGCCCCTGATTGTACGAAAAATCGCGTTTTTAGCTTGTGGACCCTATAGAGGTCATAATTTTTATCCGATTTAAAAAAACATTTATTATTATATCACCGTTAAACCCTAAGGACGGTTGAGTTCGAATTTCGTGAAAATCGGCCCAAAACTGACAGACAAAATGGCCGCCGTTCGTTCTCAAATAGCGTAAAAATATGGTACATCAATGTTGTGGACTCTATAGAGGTCACAATTTTTATCTGATTTTGTTGAAACTTGAAATGTAAGTTTATAACCCAAAGATCTTGGTTCCTTTCTATATTTGCACATATCAAATTGTAATTTCCTGAATTATGGCTCTTGATTGTAGGAAAAATCACTTTCGTTTTAGCTTGTTTTCTATCCATCTCTCGAAATGTGGGCGTATCCTGCCTGGCAGCCGCTGGTTATTTATTTGATTTGATATAACTTTTCTGTCGTATTTCTCAAATGTTTTCAAAAATATGTCGTCTTTTGTTGAGAAGTTAATTACTACCGAAAATTCCAGGGAGTAGACATCTCTTCGGTGTTACCATGGTAATAAGGTCTGCCTTCTCTGCAAGATAATTAAAACAAAAAGAGAAATCTTTGAGCGACATTAGAAAAGTGTAATTATTGATATATGTTGTGGACTTGTGATACTGACAGTATTAATTGATTAGTCTTCTGATTTAGCACATGAAAAGATAACGAAATGGCTGACAACTCACCCTTTTTCAGCTAAAACAGATATAGCCTCAGACAAGTCAGCTAGCTCATAGGCCAGATACTTCAAATTTTGTTTGGTTTCTTCACAGTTTCTGTTTCCCGAATAATATCTATCATAATATCTATCATAATATCTATCACGTCACTCTGCTCTGGCGTATTTATACTTATAAATGGGGTATCCCCCTGTATCCCGATAATTTGGCCAATGTGACAGTATTGGTTCTTTGATCAGGTTCTTGGATGACAACACTGGTATATACATCTAATAATAGTTTTATTCTGCTTCTTACAATATTAGGTACAAACATCGTGATGTAAACGACCGTAGAACTAACTATATGGAAGGAGTCGTATCCATTAGGTACCTTGATCTAGGCACCCGCCTAGCATGGCCTCCTGGACCCGCCCTGAAGATTCGTTTCTGTTCTGAGTTTATAAACGTATTCGAGACAAAGGAGCTCATTAGACACCTGTCTAATGTATCAAGCATCATATGAAGGTTTAACATTCAATATAGTTTATCAGACAAAGAAAGTTAGATAAGACATGCCAACAACAAGTTATAGTTACGCAATGACATAAGGAATACTACCAAGATCTCCAGCCGGGTATTGATAGCGACAGGTTTATGTTACAATCACTAACACGTATTTTAATATGGCAGGACGCCTCTATGACATAAGTCATTATGTTATATAACCTCTCTTTGTTTGAATAAAGTTATGAATTATATGAAATAACTTTTAAAGACTATTACAAAATTAGATACCTATGGAGTCGATAATTACTACTCTTATTAAGATATAAACAACAATAATAATAATGAAAAAATATATAAAAACAAACAACACTCGTAAAATGTCGTATACAAAAATGTCTATAAACAAAAAGAAAAGGTAAATGAAACACACACGAATTTAAAAGTTATATATACATGTAAAATGTCATAATATCCAAAAATGTCTTTAAACAAAATGAAAAGGTCAATGAAAAACACACGAACTTAAAAGTTATATACACACAATCGGTCACACACGCGAGTCAATGAAAAAAAAAAAACCAAACGAGATCCTGGAATCACAAACACAGACTACTCTTATTATTCACATAAATGGTGGAATCGCGAACACAAACTACTGTAATTATCTTCTTAGACCGATTATTTGGTGGAATCGCGAACACAAACTACTGTAATTATCTTCTTAGACCGCTACTGCACTGTCGTAGCCAACTGTAGGGGTGGGGTACATATGATGCCCTTCCTCGTTCCAGTAATGTTGAGGGGTCAGAATATTCCCTGCTCCGTTTAGTTCAGCTCTTCTTATTGACCGGTAGTCTTTTCATTTTCCATACCGTCTGGCAAAACGGCGTGTTATGACATGTGCATATGAAGAGTATTAACTGCCACCCGTGCCGAAGTTTTATCATCTGCTTATCATATATATCATGGAGTAAACTTAATTAATAGTTAATCAAATTAGCAAGTGGAACAGATTTGACTTTAGATATCGATCTAACGATATTTACAGTATTATTTACATGGATACAATTGAAATTAGGGAGTCATATTGTTTTATCTCAAGAATAATGAATGATCTGAACACATTTAACCAATCTTAAATAAGATATTTTTGAAAGAACTAACGGTTTATCTCTATAATTTTTAAACACAACACAAAATAAGACGATACGTTCGCTCTTAAATCCGAGCACAACCCTCCTGGGGTTAAACCACTTAACATAAACTTCTCCCGTTACATATCGGGGCATTTCCCAATAAAACTTTGGGGTATTACAAATAAAACTCTCTACCGTAAATATCGGGTCTCCCGTAAACCTCGGGGCATAAATATATATAGACAAAATAACAACAAAAAAAATTATAAGAGATAAAACCGTTAATACCGTGTGATTAAAGAGCTATATCTCTCAATTAGGATACGCTTAACTCTATTCCAGATAATTAAACAATCATAAAACATTTCACTTCGCAGTTATTAGCCTAATAATACTTAGCTACTACTAAATTTAAAAGCCAAAATATGTGTTCAAAACAACCAATGATAATTCATAATCTTTTAAAAACAACATGACGCATTTTAAAACAAATAATATATATACAATTTTGTTTTAGTCATTTTCCTACAAATAGTTAAGGACTGTTCCACTACTAGCTTGAACGTTATATTAAATTAAGTAACTACACCATGATATTTAATAAAGCGTGATGATAAACTGCTGATTTCCCAGTTAAATTATAATACATTATAGCACAATGTCATTATTAACCGGCCATGGTAGGATTAGAAAAAGACTTACCCGTGTATACTAAAATCTGTGGCCTGTGGTCGTCTAGTGGTATAAGACTTCAA